TCGGCCTTGACCGAGAAATCATCGAAAAACCGTCACCGCCTAGTGCTGCCATCTCTACAACCAACGGCAAACTCTTTAATTAACCAGAAGCGCTCATTTTTTTCTTTCTTTTAATTTTATTAATAGCACCGCAGTGCTATCTAGCGACTCCTCATCGAACCAACTCAATTCAATTAACCTTATGAAGTTATTATTCAATTATTTTTATAGCTCTTTTACGAGCTGCGATGCTATGAAAAAAATGGTGTTCTGTAATTAAATGCAAAATAATTTTATTACTGATTTGGTTACCGGGCGTTACTGATTATGATTTTGCATGTTTTTTTGTATTAAATTCTCAAATTTATGAGGAAAAATGAAGTAATATGTTGGGATTTTTATGTTAAAAATGCTATGCTTCGTGATATTAACGTAAAAGAATAAATAAGTAAACATATAATTATATTTGACGGATGTATGATTTAGTAGTTTGAATATTATGTTAGTCAAGACTACCAGACCGAAGAATTAAGAATGTTATATTTAATTTATAAAGTTAGAAGATAAAGTTAGTTTGGTTTGGTTTGGTATTTTTTTTTTCATGATAGGCAAAACTGACTGGACAAATCCCAAGTCATTTAGGCCTATTAGTCTCACATCGTTCATACTAAAAACGCTGGAGAAAGTAGTTGACAACCATATTGGAGAAAATCATCTAAAGGTTAAACCACTGCATGATAGTCAGCATGCATATAGAACGGGCAGATCCACAGAAACTGCTCTGTACCAATTAACGGAGCTAATACAGACAAGTCTGGATAGCAAAGAAACAGCAATTTGTGCCTTCTTGGATATTGCGGGGGCGTTTGACAATATACCACATAAGGTGGTCAGGCGATCTCTAGAAACAAGAGGGGTGAACAGAACTATTATTCGCTGGTTTTGGGAAATGCTGTCAACACGAACAGCAGAGGCTCAGATGGGCACCAAAACTGTAGCTGTTAAAACAACGCAAGGAACTCCACAAGGTGGAGTAACCTCCCCTTTGCTGTGGAGCTTGGTGGTGGATGAACTACTAGATGAATTAACTCTAGCGGGAATACACTGCATTGGGTATGCAGATGACATAGTCATGATCGCTCGGGGGAAACATGAAGGCACCTTGTGTGATATTATCCAAAGAGGACTCCGTATCACTGAGAGATGGTGTAGGACTGTCGGGCTGAGTATCAACTCAGACAAAACCGCGATAGTGCCATTCACCAGAAGGCGAAGTCTGAAAAACTTGAAAAGAATCCAACTAGATGGAAAGGAAATACTGCCAACACAGGAAGTTAAATACCTGGGAATAACCCTGGACAGTAAACTCCTGTGGAACAGGCATATTAAGAACACTACCAGCAAAGCCATAAAGGCTCTCATGATATGCAGAAGACTGGCCGGAAATAGATGGGGCTGCTCCCCTAACATTTTGCGCTGGATGTATACCATGATAGTAAGACCCATGATTACTTATGGAGCAGTTGCCTGGTACACAAAACTGAGCAACGGACGGCAAGGCTAAACCTATGCAAAGTCAGAGACTAGCATGTGTTTGCATCACAGGAGTCATGAGAACCTGTCCAACAGCAGCAATGGAGGTCATTCTAGATCTAACACCACTGCACATTGTCATTGGTAGATATGCCAATGCGACAATGATTAGAATGGTCACTAACGGAATTAGTACTGGGAGAATTGTCAGATCAGCGGCTTGGAACACCCTCAAAAAGGAAATACCACTCCTGCAACTCCCAGTGGACAATATGCCAAGAACGTACAACTTTGACAAACATGTCAATGTAGTATTGAGCAATAAGAAGGATTGGAAGAGCGAAACGCTTGCCCAGCAGTTAAAAGACCATAACTTGGTATACTGATGCTTCCAAAACCAATACGGGAACAGGGATCGGAGTGTTTGGGCCGAGAGCTAATTACTCCGAACCAATGGGCACTTACCCTAGTATCCTACAGGCTATAATCTACGCTATCGAAAGATGCGTACAACTTATCTTTGATAGGAACTATCGGAAACAAGAAATAGCCATCTTGTCTGATAGTCAAGCAGCGTTAAAAGCGATCAACTCAGTATCAATCAATTCGAAATTGGTCAAACAATGCATAGAGAAGCTGAATAAATTAGGCAAAGAAAACAAAGTCCTCCTACTCTGGGTGCCTGCTCACCAAGGGATAGAAGGCAATGAAAAAGCAAATAATCTAGCTAGGAAAGGAGCGAACACTCCACTAACTGGACCAGAACCGTTCTTCTTTCCAAGCGGATACCAACTCAAGGGGAACTCAAGAACTTGGAAGATTCCATCCGCAACCTGGAATGGAAATCTTGCAATGGTCTAAGACACTCGAAGAAGTTTCTGAGGGCTTATGATCAAGAAAAATCACAGATCTTCCTGGGTCTGAGTAAGAACAATCTTCGGATTGTCACGGGATTTTAACAGGACACTGTCTCCTCAATGAACACCTCAGTAGATTGAAACTAAGAAGAAACGGCGAATGCAGATTCTGTGGGGAAGATGGGGAAACACCAGTACACCTCATCACTGAGTGCGCCGAGACGACAACCATTCGTGCCATGAATTTTGGTACGACTGATATTGGAGATGGAGAACTACCCTCTATAAAACCGTCCCAGATACTGGCTTTTGTCAAAGCCCTGGGACTGTATGATGAGTTATGTTTCGAGAAAGGGGGACACAATGGATCTGTAAGGTCGAAGTGATTAACCCCCCTCCCACTCATTCTAAATTCTAAAAATTCTAGCAGGGATAACTTGTTATCGCATAGCCAAAAAAAGGCAACAATGGGTCCAACTACAAAGAGAGTACCTAAATATTCGAGGAAGGCTACACCATAACTGAAAATGGTTGAATAAGCTGAGAATGATGATATAAAAATAATCTAGACAAAAATTTAGGTAATATATACAGAAAATTTATGAAAATAAGCTTAAAAGTGATATTCAAGAATCTAAGTAAATAAAAACAAATATATTATGTATTTAAAATACTTTCTATCACTCTCATGTATTTATTTTCTTTAATTTTCAATATTAATTACATTGTCTATGTCTGTCTAAGACCTTTATCATTGTAGATGAGTTCAGAGGCGCCGCTTTAGGGACAGCAATGGCGAGAATATAATCGGAGAATCATAGTTTCACAAATTATGAATTTGATAAAAATAAAAAATATTTTTATTTTAAAATATTGTTTTATTTTTCTTTTTATGTGTTATATTTTATCGATAATGTAGAATAATTATAGAAGTAATAATTGAATGAACTGAAATCGAAAAAAAATATGAAATCATTTGAAAATTCGATTTCAAATGATTTCAAATTTAGATTATTAAGAAAAATTAATTTTTTAATACACACTTCAATTAATTAAGAAAAAAGTAAAAATCTAAGACATTTAATATATTTTAGGGCACTGATTCCAAATCAAAAAAAGATATATTTTGCAATTTCAAAAATATCGAATAAAAAAAATCTTTGTGGAGTATAAAAATTACATAAATCAATACTGTTATATTTTCTATACAGTTAAATACCAAAAGATGACATTTATAACCTCAAAATATTTTTAAATTAGAATTTTAACATAGTAAAAGTGTTGTGAATGGATAAAATAATCATAATGTTGGTATCGACAACAAAACTCAATGTCTGCTACAAAGTTTTATTAGAATCGGTTCAGTAGAGACAGTGGCGTGTCTAGGGGTTGGGTTTGGGACTGGTAGTGGCAATATTTAAGTAAAATTTGTATCTTTGATTTGATTAAAAGTTGTATCCGTTTCTTGTCCATATTTCGATGAGATAAACGCAATTTCATTAATCAAAATTAATAAAATTAAAATAAAATGAAGAAAATATTTATCTAATGTAATTTATTGTTAAATTTTATTAAAATTTACAACACTGATGTGCAGTGCTACCTACAGCAATTTAAAATATTAAAAAATAATGGTATTTAAGATAATTAAATTTTTTTTAAAGTTTTAACATATTGTACCTTTAAAAGTATGCATTACTTTTTTATATACTTTTTGATGAGGAATCAATGAGTACTTATTTAAAAATTTCGCAAGTTAATGATATTAAATTTTTTAAAGGTTGCTATTAGACTTGGATCAAGGCAAATTAATAAAATTGCGTTTATCCCACCAAGGAGCCGAAATCGACAAAATACCAAGAGACAACTTTTAATCGGCATTAAACTGCTTGCACTATTTTGCTAACAAGAGAAAAAAGTCAGTGGCGTACACGCTTTGGAAAAAAATTACAATAAATCGAAAAAAGATGAAAATGTTAACTCCCTATAGCTACGAAAAAAAAAACAGAATCGGACCTATGTTAATATGAAAAATAAATCTTATTTTCACGAGAGATGGCGCGTGTTTTTTGAAACTCCCTGTATATGTACCCACGAGTAGAAATATCTGAAAAAAAGTTTCGTGAAAATTTTAAAACACAAAATTTCGTAAAAATTATTGTAGACCCCTTTGCAAAAGATTCCGGCGCTACGCCACTGGACTACTACAAAACATAAAAGATTCAGTTCAAAAACGCGATAATGTTTTATCGGTGACGACACACACCGTACACCGTGTAGCTTTATCCTATTCTTTCCCATTCCGACTAATACCGACAAACTCCTAACCGTGTAGCGGCTGATCGACTCCTCCACTCCCTTCCCCCCTCCACACCCGTCCTTTTTTTACTCCTCCCTCCCCACCAACCGACAAGAAATAAAACGCGCGATTATTTTAACCTCCCCTCGGCACGCCGAAAAGAGTCGAAAGTCGCCGATTGGGCGCGCGTGACGCCAGAGACCGCCCACCCACCTAGGGGAGGGGGTAGGCGGTGATTTAAAAAAACACCGCCCCGAAAGAAGTAGGGCGCGTTGTGGATTTTTGACGGGTGGTGAGGGGAGGGAGAAGAGTGATAGCGGCGGCGGAGCGCAGGAAAAATGCGCTTGCCTGCCTTCGGTTTTCGTCGGGTAGCGAGATCGGGTCGCCGCTTCGCTGACACGACGTCGCTTTTTTCCGCGTACACCTCTACTCTGCGCGCACAATTTGTCTGTCCTACTAGTCGTGGTTGATCTGCCGCGCGAAAAGAATATCTACCACCAGTAGTAGCATAGTTACTACACGCTGTTCACTTTACTAACGACTTATTATAACTTATAATTTTTTTTTCGCGATTATTTCAGTGATTATTATAGTGATTCGGAATAAACAGTGATTTGACTTTTTTTTAAAAGACTTAATGACTTGATTAATTAGTGTCGGTGTGTTGAGAAGCTGTTGACTGTTATACAGTGGATGGACGCGGAATTGTTGTCATGTGTCCTCGGCTAGGCGGAAGGCATTGAGGCGGCAGTGGACGGGACACTATGTCCCAGTTTGGATTTCGAGCATCGCCCAGTACTCAAGTAAGATGTTGGGAGAGATAGGGAACGCCTGCGTGGTGCCTGTGGGCCAATAATAGAGCGGATTTGGGTCTTGGGGAACGGAGACCAAATCTGGTTGAGAATTTTGCGTTAAAAATTAGTTTTTTTACATCAATAATTGTCTGAAATATTGTTTATTATTGTAATTTATTCAGAAGTTTAAAATGAATGTCAACTAATATAATTAAGAGTTCTCATTGAGGTTTTACACACGACAAATTACTTAGACCAAAAATTTGAGTCAAATGTGTGAGAAAACCTAATATTTAGCCTATAAAACAATAAAAGTTTCATTTATAACCACAATTTCTCTTGACGAATTATAATCAAAGGCCAAAATAACATTACTTGCAAATTTTGACGTATTAGTGAGAAAAGTTAAAAGTTTGTTAACATTTTCTGTTAATTTTGATGTTCTGAATGCTTTCATTGAAATTAGAGGCTCAAACTTCTATGCTAATTAAAACCACTAATTTATTTCAATAATTTCGAGGTTTTGAATGAAACTTCAAAGGCAGAGTAAAAAAATATCTACCTAAAACACATAAATATTCATTTTTCCAAGATTTATTCATGAAAAATGACACAAATGTAGTGAAATGATATGAATCCAAAAAATACTTATTGTAATCTTTCAAATAACTTTGACAAGATAATCTTGAATTTCGTTAACGTCAAACTGTCATTTTACATTGTCTTCAATTCTTTAATTTTAATAACCAATACACTATTTTGTAAAATTGAAAAATGTAAAATCAAAAATGAATTATTTAGACAGCTGTGTGATGTCAATTAGATTCTTACTAACCGATTATATCAACAATTAAAAATAATTATATTTTGTGCTACGTTTTGCAACTTTAGTATTGCTTTTCCAAAATATACTAATAATTTTACTAAATAAAGACTAAAGATATATCTCTTAATTTTGTTTAATTTAATGGTCTGCATGTTTTTATTATTGATACATAATTAATTAATAAAATTAATAATTCAAATTAATAATCAAATTAATAAAAATTAATAATTCAAATTAATAATCAAATTAATAATTGAACCAAATTAAGACTTATATTTCGAAATTTAAATATAATGCATCGAATTTTTCATTACTCAAGAACCTATGAAACGCAATTTCTAAAAAAAAAATAATCTTAAATATTTTAGAACTGCCTGGTTTATGACACTTATATAATTGATTTTAAGAAACTTTTGAAACTAGAAAAATAACAAAAAAGAGAATAATCTTGAGGTAGAAAAGGAAAGAAATGAAAATATAAAGTCCGTATTAAGAATATCTCATATACAGGGTGAGAGTGTATACAAAAAAGTTCTATCTCTCGTATTATAATTTTCTCTCAAGTGCTTTTAGCGATTCGAATGAAATTTTGAGGGTAAAAGTTACTATAAGTGCGACATATTTTAATGCTAAAAAAACATGTACGCCACTGGCTTTTTTCTTTTGTTAACGAAATAATGTAAACCATTTAATGCCGATTAAAAATTGTCTCTTAATATTTCGTCGATTTCGTCCTCCTTGATGAGATACACGCAATTTCATTAATTTGCATTGATCCAAGTCTATTAGCAACTTTAATTTTTTTTAATATCATTAACTGGCCACAGAGTTAAATAAGTACTCATTGATTCCTCATCAAAAAATATGAAAAAAAGTTCCTATAAAAAAACATAGTTATATTGTTGCAGGATGTTAAACCTTTTAAAAAATAGGTATGTAGTAATTACCTTAAATACAATTATTTTTTATTGAATTTGCTGTAGGTAGCACTTGAACATCAGTGTTATAAATTTTAATAAAATCTAATATTAAATTAGATAAAATAAATAATTTATTCATTTTATTAATTGTGATTAACAAATTGCGTTTATCTCATCAAGGAGATCGATACCATTAAAGAACCCACACAATTCTGCTAAAAGAGAAAAAAATCAGTGGCGCACATGTTTTTTTTAGAAAAACGTTCCAGTGATAACCCATATGCACGTCCCTGGTGAATATGTCGACTCTTTTTTAATACTAAAATATGAAACACTTATCCCTCAAAATTTCATTCAAATCGCTAAAAGCACTTGAAAGAAAATTATAACAAATCGAAAAAAATAAGATTTTAACACCCCGTAGCTACGGAACAAAGCAGAATCGGAACTATTATAATATAAAAAATAAATCATATTTTTACGTGAGGAATCTCCCCACGAGAGATGGCACATATTTTTTGAAACACCCTGTAGGAATAATTAAAAAACTAGACTACACTAATTTCAAAAAAAGGTTTAATTAATGTATGAAGTCATAAGAGATCTATTTCCAAGTTAATATTCTTTAGTTTGAGTCATGACAATATTATTACATTTGTAATGTCAATATTGACTTCAATGAAACAAAAAAAAAAGAATATTTGCCCTATTTTTGTGATTTGATTATTGATTGATTATTGATTGATTATTGATACATTAAATTTTTTGATTTATACGGTTATGAACTGGTTTTGCATTTAGTTTATGACCTTAAATATTAGTTAGGTAAAGAGTGAGTAACATTAATATAAAAAAATAAACACCAAAAGCATAGATAAACATCTATTATTTAAAATATTAGAAAAACACAACTTAATTTCTTATTTTTAAAAATAATATTGGGGGGGGGGGGTTGTGTAGTTATCTGGTTATATAGGGTGTATATAATATTATAATAAAACATATTATACAGGCTATTTAATCATGTAGCTCAAATTGCGATGTTTTAATGTAATTTTTTAATCCCCCACAATTTTTGAATTAAAAAAAATCTGGCATATAAAAGTGTCTTTTCCTATATACACATAATTTTTACTCACTATATTCGATTTACAAACATTATTTGATAATAAATAATAATTGAAATTGATTTAAAATAACCAAATACATTTACAGAAAAAATATAAAACTTACCTATGTATATGCTTACTTCAAATAAATTAAATATAAGTTCTGATATTATGATCGAAATATACCGAATCAAAATATTAATAAAAATTTTAAATACCATACGATCAAAAAAAAAAACGGCGTCATGGATGGCTTGGAAATGAATATTGCTTTAATTTTTATGTAAAATTACATATAGAATGTTAACGATCATCGTTTCTAAGCCAACTGGACGCCGTTTTTTCTTCGATCATACAGTATATGTAAATTTTAGGCAAAATTTCCCAAATATTATAATTAGTTATATTAATTATAACATTATAAAACCTTAATAAATCTAAAAATAACACAAACATAAGTTAACACACATTTAAAAAGCTTTTCCAAAAAAATTCTTACTTCGGATATATAAACGGAAAAAAATATAAACAATACCAAAAATATATCAATTTTAAGCTCAAAACACCCAGTAGATAAAAAATATAAAGCAATTCTAGATCTATAACTTTCAAATTCAGATATTGTATAATAATATCCATGAAAATATTAAAAAAACTAGTCACTATGCTTAAAATTTGAAGCCAATAGACAAAATCTTACATAACCTTAGGTAAAATGATCAAAAAGTTGAGATATCGCCTCTTATGGCACCCTTGGCAATACTAACCCTTGAAAATACTAAAAAAAATTATCAAAATACCAGAAATTTTGAGATAAATTCACGTAATATACATATCTCTAGCATAAAACCATACATAACTTCAGATATTAGGATTATAATGCCGTATGATTGAAAAAACGGCGTCCAGTTGGCTGGGAAATGACAATTATTGACATTTCCCATATAAATAACAGCGATCTTCATTTCATAGCCATCGCTGACGCCGTTTTTTTCGATCATGCTGTATATAGAATCAAAATATAAATATAAAAATTTCAAATACCATACGATCGAAAAAAAACGGCGTCAGAGATGGCTTGGAAATGAATACTGCTTTAATTTTTATGTAAAATTACATATAGAATGTCAACGATCATTATTTCGAAGCCACCTGGACGCGGTTTCTTTCGATCATACAGTATATGTAAATTTTAGGCAAAATTTCACAAATATAATTAGTTAATTAATTTTAATATTTTTATAGCTTAATACAGCTCCAAATAATCCAAATATAATTTATAACACATTTAAAAAGCTTTTTAATAAAATATAATCGGAAGAAAATACCAAAAATATATAAATTTAAGCTAAAAACACCCAGTAGATAAAAAAATATAAACCAATTCTAGATCTATAACCTTCAAATTCAGATATTTTATAATAATATGCGTGAAAATATTAAAAAAACTAGTTATTAAGCTAAAATTTTGAAGCCAGTTGGCAAAATCTTACATAACCTTAGCGAAAATCATCAAAAATCTCTGATAGCACCTTTTAATGGCACTATTAAATAAGAAAAATTACTAAAATTTATATATTGTATAGCCACACCTTTGAAAATACTAAAAAAATTATCGAAATAACCGAAATTTTGACATAAATTCACGTAATATACATATCCCCAGCATAAAACCATAGAAATAGCTATATTAAAGCATATAAAAAAGCACTAAACATAATAAATTTCAGATCAATAGCTGTAAAATTCAGATGTTACATAATTTCCGTCAAAATATTCTTAAATTATTATAAAATATAAACATCCTACCTTATCCAACCACGATGAAGCCAAAAAATCACCTACAAAGTACCATTACACCGCAATTTCACTATTTTTTCACTAATTATACGCTTTAAAACTCGAACAATACAAGACAAACAACGTAAAATAATTCTAAACATGTTTAAATCAACACAGTTCAAGTCGTTTTTCCCCCTAGCAACGCCAAATATAAAAAACATTCAAGTTTTTTGTCGCCCGTTGCTAAGCTACGCTGGCAACCAAAGCCTTCTATGTTGGATGAAACTTGGAAATACGGAACAATCTGAATAATTTCAGAGGGATAGGATTTTTCAGAGAATAATGAAATGTTTATTATGATCTAGTTAAGATAGAAAGTTGAAATTTTCAGGTTAAGGATAATTCGAGGTGTACTTTCTTTTTAAAGTATTTTCAACTTCCTGGCACTTCCGGTTTTACCGGAAGTGGCTGTCAATTTGCTTATTTTAAATAGAACCACCTATATTTTTTACTTTCATTGAATTCTGCGTAAAATTCTACATATATTTTATGTATAATGTTCTATACCTAAGTTTAGCAGTTTTTGAAATATTTGCAATTTTATGTCAAAAATTACATTCATTGGGTAGAGGTAGTAAATTATAGCTTTTTCTGCATTAATACTTTTTTTTATAAACAATTTATGCTCTGTACTTTTTAGTAAAGGTATTAATTTACTCAAATTTGTATATTATTTGATTAAATACTATACAGGGTGATGTATAAAAATATGAGCAAATATTACATTAAAAAAATACTAAAAATTGATTGAAAACCTCCATGTTTTGTACTAGGTATTTTACTCAAGTGTCAAAAATAAATAGTACTATGTATAAAGTTATCTACAGGTACCTAAATTCAACGCAAATAAAAATAATATACAAATTAGCATGGAAAAATGTCGAAAAATTGTCAATTTTCTCCCAATTTTTTACACATTTTCAACGCCCTCAAAAAGACACTAAATACAGCCCAAAAAATATCAAAATTTCAGGATTTGTACGAAATTTTATGTACTTTTAGAATATGTAAACCGTTTTCAGCTTGAATGCTTTAGTTTTATTAGAATTTCGAATTTTTCAACCCTTGTTTTTGTACAGTTTACACTGACCTCCGATTGAGTTGTATATTCAAAGTATATTTAATCATACTATCAAATAATAAAAAATATAATGAAATATTACTGATTGATAATTAATGCTGTCATGCAACTAATAGAAAAAATACAGGTAAATAAAAAAAATATATAAAAATTAAAGACAAAAAAAACTTGTTTAATTATTGTAATTTCTATTTATTAATACCAAGTAATTATAAACAGTTACATCTATTACCAGTGGGTTCAATAATAAATCAATGCAAATCAATGGTAGTTTACACGTGTACCATTTAGAATAATTAATAATATTAATTTAAATCGAATGTAACTATTAGAAACGCTGTAATGTTTCTATTGTAACCTTCAGCGAGGTAGGTATGTCATTATAATGTAAAATAATATGTGTATTACTAAAGATATCTACAAGTACAAACAAATAAAGAAACAATTATTTTTAGATTTTTTTTGTTTACTTATTCATTAAACAGGATATATCAACAGGTGGTACAGACAGTAAAATTGTTTATTTAATTTAATTATTTATTGCAGAGATCATTACGATTACTAATTATTTTTTTTCCGAAATCAATATTTTTTTTATTTTTTTCTGTATAAAGGTCTACCTACACGTATCAGTCACGTCCCCGTCTCAGTCTCATATAGTTAAAATCTGTGACAGCTATTCATACATATGAAATGTCAAAAAATGTCAAAAATTGTCCATTTTCGATATTTTTTACAGATTTTTAAGGCCCTCGAAACGATAGTAAACATAGCTCTAAAAATATCAAAATTTTAGAGTTTACAGGAAATTTTATATATGTAATTTTAGAATATGTAAACTATTATAAGCTTGAATGCTTTGTTAATAATTGATTTGCTTTCTGTTTGTATTATAAGGTCTTATATTGTTTTAACAGAAAACAAATTATCATACTAAGGACTGGCAAAGGTTAGTCTTGGGTCGAGATTTCCGTATGTAAGAAGAGTAGAATGCGTTTATAATGTACTGAACAAAGAGAGGACAGTAAACACGTTGCCAAACGTACGAAATAAACCGAGAGACTGTGCGCATTGCCCACTCCAGACGTGGAGGGGGATATAGCAGATTTGTCGCAGTCGACCGGTCGCCTCAATAGCTTTTTTCGTTTTCCTGTTATTACCGATTCTGAACCGTCCTAGAATTGTGATGCGTATGCGCAGAAGGAAATATGAAGACATTATTTCATTTGCGCATGCGCTGGAGAGTTCTAGGACGATTTAGAATCGATAATAACAGGAAAACGAACAGACCTAATGAGTACCTCTGTCAGTACTTAAAGTTCTAGGGAAATGTGTACATCATGCGTTCAGATTCACGATCTAATTACGTCTCGTGATGCTTTATTTGATTATTTATCAACGAGTGGTTGTAATTTTCCTTATAGCTTAAAAAAATTTAAGTGCAAGTTAGAAACACTTGCATTTTTGATAAAAATAAGTGGAATTGAGTTGTGTTCGACAGTGGTCGCGCTATTAGAAGTCTGAATTCAAAAATTGATATCTCTAAATCTATCGAAAATATCTCGAAATCTATATTTCTTCTCTCTCGAAGATCTTTTCGAAAAAAAAATAAGTCGTTTGCGATCGTGAATTTACTTTACTTGATAGGGAAAGGTGTACTGGCAACGCCGCAACAGCACACCGTCGCATTTCTCTCACTCCGACTTAATAAGATCCTTATGCGATTTACTTCCACACATGTAAATACCGACCCAAAAATAACAGTTGCCAGCACGGTATATGTCTATTGTACGTAAGTATCACGAGATTATAAGAAAAAATATCAGAATATCAGAAAAAAATATTCATTAATATGCGGTAAGAAACACATATATCTGTAATACAATCTACAGGTATTCTATGTAAATTTCAATTCATTATTTGCAAAGTACACATATACACGACCTGAGAAATTCTTTTGCAAGAAACACGGAAAGAAGTACCGTAAGTAATCACGCAAGGTACTAATTTTAAAACAGTACACTCAAAAAAATGGATAAAATCAACCACAATCTCCATACAAAATCGCTTTAACCCAGATTTATTTAGCTTAATAATAATATATTTTTTTATTAAACCAATCTCAAATAATTTATGTTGTGTTTACCACTGTTACGACATCCGAATTAGAAATTGAGATTACTTAGTAGCCGGTACAATTATTGGCAGTACCGCAAATGTCACACGCCCACCGCTACATGTTTCAGGTTGCTGGCAATTTGTTTTAGAAAGCTTGTACGAAAATAAAACAAGTTCTTTTTCGAGTCCAGACTAATTTAAATGGGAGAGAACTTGTGAATGTTTATCTAATACGCCTACCTACACAAATATACCAGTTTATATGAAAGAAGAGCAACAAATTAACGAAATAAATACAGCCAGCAATAAAGTAGATCTCAAAATTAATTTAGCACAAACTAAAGTAAAGCCGGGTTCAGACCAAGCAGACAAACAGCGATAAGACAGAAACATTCATGTTTTACGACAAAGTTGCGACAAATCCAATACATTTCTGCAACATTTTTGTCTCATTTTTGTTTTGTTTCCAAATTCGGAGTCTTTTGAATGTCCCGTCTCGAGTCGTGTATTTTATGACAAGTTGTCGGTACAGTGTGGACGTCGTGCGTTGCTAAAAGTAGGAAACTAATGAAATCACACAAATTTAGTACTGTGGAGTATATAAAAATTTATCAGAAAATAATATACCTCGTAATATGCCTGTATATGATATATAGACTTCTCTTAGATCAAAATAAATTTTAGTTGAGTCAATGGTATTTGCTATTGGTTTAAGAAAAGTGTCTCTTTAATCAAGAAATGTCCCTTTTCAATCAAGAATTTTTGCATGAATCAAAGAGACTATTGTTATTGTAGCAAGAACTTCTTTGCATATTTATTTTGGATCAAGAGTGAAATACTTTGGACAGATAGATTCTTCTATTCTCTAAAGTAATTTTTTACAGCAACAAACACAAACACAACAACCCAAATAAGAACAAACTTTACCTTAAGGCAGCATCTTCGAACTACAACTGGTATTGGCCAAGGTGACAGCCTCAGCCCTCTGTTATTCAACACAATCATGGATCAAGTAATAAAAACCGTCAAGAATACTGGATTAGGATATCGAATGGGAATGCATAAAGTAAACATATTATGCTATACCGATGACGCAGTACTTATTGCAGAGTCAGAGGACGACCTCCAAAGAATGCTACAAGCTTTTAACAGACAGGCAGAAAAACTAAACATGCACATTTCCACAAATAAGACCAAATGCATGACCATTACAAAGGAGCCTCTACGGTGCAAATTGGTAATAAAAAACAAAACTATTGATCAGATAATCAAATCAGATCAATACCATTCGAATACCTCGGATGCAAAATTACAAGTTCAGGATTCCTGGAAGAAGAAGTAAGGAAACAAGCCAATAAAGCTGCCGCAATATCAGAACATCTTAAATATCCTATATGGAAAAACAAACATTTGAGTACAGAATGTAAGTCAAGAATATACAAAACCTGCATACGACCAGTGATGACATATGGTGCGGAAACCAGAGCTGAAACATCAGTAACAAAGAGAATCCTACGAACTACTGAAATGAAGACCTTAAGAATAATAACTGGATACACATTGAGGGACAGACAGAGAAAAGTGCCAAACAAACGACGTTGTCAGATGGATAAGGCAGAGAAGAAGAGAATGGAACCAGCATGTCAATAGAATGGGCCCCGACAGAATGGCCATAATAATTCGCAACAACGTACCCCATGGCAGAAGACCTACTGAGTTGCTTAGACGAGGAGGAAACCGGAACTAAACAGGCGATACGCCTTCTAAAAGAAGAAGAAGAAGAAGAAAAGATAGTTAATGCTTTGGGCAAAGAAACGTCGTTCTTGGCCCTATTGAAAAGCACCAATCTTTTAGGTC